TAAATTTAATAAAATATTTTAGAATAATTTATAATATAAAATTTTCATTTGTTTTAATAAAAAAATAATAATAAATTTAAATCAAAATTAAAATAAAATGATTTTAATTAGCAAACTAGTTCATGATAAAATATATAAATTATTAAAATATATTAAGAATTATTGTTTATGCTACGAAAAAAAATTATTAAAAGGAAAAACTAAAGTAACATAAGATAAAAATTAAAATTCTTAAAAAAATAAAAATAAATAAAGAATAAACGGTTAAAAGAAGTGTTATAAAAGCTATCTCTCATGAGGTTAGATGTGATTAAATTAAAAATTATTCAAAAATTAATATAATTATTAAATATCGAGATATCAATATAAGAAATAAAAAAAAAATGATGCAGTAGCAATGGGGACGTCCCACCGCCATAAAAAAAAAAAAAAAAAAAAAAAAAAAAAAGGGCATAAATAACACCAGACACAGTCGTCGTCCCGCTGTTCTGGGCAGACCAACTTCCATTCCGTGTATTGTCTTCTTCCAAAGTCAATTGTCTCGCTCTCTGGAAATGACTGAAGGAGGCTTAACGGTGCTGGACGGAACCGCACTCCGATCGCTGGCTTTCTCTCCGATTGAGCTTAATGGCGTTATCACCGGAGCCCACCTTCTCGAAATCGCAGACACCAAGGCGTCGCAGTCCCTCTTCGGCATCCAATTGCCCCAGAATATCAAAAACTCAGCTCTCGCTCGTGTCGTCTGCTGCGATGATGAGTCAACTTTTCGGCGGAGAGAGCTTACTGCGGAACAAGCCTCCAAGACTTTCTCTGATTATCTCTCCACCATTGCCGATCAGCTGAAAGGTATATATTTTCCATTTCTCGTTATTGCGATAATTGTGTATGTATCTATATGTGCGTGTCCAATAAGAATGGAATTAAGCTGATCATTTGATATGAAGATTAAGAAAGGATGAAACTTTTCCATTCCCATTTGATTTATTATTTGTTTTGATCAATATTTGAAATATTTGGGGGACTTTTCTTAACGAGGGATTCACTTTTTGATATGAATCTAGTGCTGGTTTTCTTGCTGTTCTTTTTTGGTTCTTTTTGTTTTTTTTTTTTTTTTTTTTTTTTTGTATTGATTCAGCGGAAACATTTTTTTGAATCTATATGTTACTTTTCATGCTTAGATGAACCACTTTTGATCTCGATTTTGAATGGGAGTACTCCAAAGAGCTATTTGGAGGATGAAGACGATTTTGCCATGTTAGCCGAGGATCTTTTCACTTGTTTGGATGCAGAAGATAAAGGAAAGATTTGCAAGAGTGAAATAAGGAATGCACTTGTTAGCATGGGAGTTGAAATGGGCATCCCCCCTTTTTCGGGTTCGATTCATTTGCATTTCTTTGTCTCTGTGCTTTTTTTTCTTCATTTTAGGTTATTGGTCTCTAAACCAAGTGCACTTGGGCTGACTGAAGTTGATTGAAGTCATTTTAGGTTATTGTCTCTGTGCCTATGCATTTCTTCTTGCTAAATGAAAAAGGATTGAAAAAAATGACATGAAGCAATAAAAAGGAGAGGTTATGTAAAGTATTTCAAATTGGAGATAGGTATGCAGGGCCAGGCTCACATGAAGATATGCCTTGTATTTGTGTTGCATGATTGATTCTTTTATGCCAAGCAAATTTTATTCTGTTTCATAAACCAAAGCATCATAGGTTTCATGGAGATTTTGTAGAGAAAGTTAAGGTATGTTGTTCAATGTCAAACTGCAGAAATAGTCATGAGTCCCATGAATCATGACACATGCTTTTCTCAGCTATGGGATTCAGTTCAGTTCCATGGTAGTCATGACTCATGAGTCTCGTGAGTCATGATACATGCTTTTCTCAGTTACAGGATTCAGTTCAGTTCCATAATCAAAACTGTAGTGTTTACAGTCAACTTTCTAATCCATGTCTGATATTTTCTAGTTATCTATTTTAAATGATCTTGCTGATGTAGATGTAACACTGTTTGGACAGAATTTCCTTTGCTAAATGACATCTTGAAGAAACATGGAGCCGAGGGAGAAGAAGAGCTGGGTCAAGCACAATTTGCTGAATTACTGCAGCCTATCGTACAAGAAATAGCAAATGTGTTAAGTGAGAAACATGTTGTTGTCATCCATGATGTCAAGGTTGTCAATGGTTCTAAGTTAAGAAAGGTAGTTTCCATATCCTTGTGTTATTTCTCAGAGTCACTCTGTACAAGACAGAATAAATTCTGATAAAATCCAGTCAAAATATTCCAGATTTTGGCAGATGAAAAGCAATTGAAGAGTGTCATAGAGAGGATTTTTCATGAAAAGGACTCTGGAAACAATAAGCTAGGAAAGACACAGTCAATCCGGAATTTCCTTGAGAAAAATGCAAAAGAGTTGGGCTTGCCACCAGCAGATTCTAATGAGGCAGCTGCTATTGTCTATGATGCAGTATTTTCTGATGTAGAGATTGAAAACAGCTCTGTAGAAGAGGATAAATTTACAGAACTTGTCAAGGATATCCTTCTGAAATTTGCAGAGCAGCTTGAAGCCAATCCAATCTATTTTGACCTCGATAACTAAGGTGGCAATACTGCAATTCTTGCTTATCTGGCATTACTTATTCCATCTAAGTCTTCCTATTTACATTTTATACATGATGATCTAGCCTTTGTTATATGTCTCAGATTCATTTGCTTCCTCTTTGACCCTTCCGGTTGGATATCAAATTTACTGCGGTACAAAAAGGGAGCCTCTGTCTATGTTTACAGTCTTGGAGAGTATTTGTAATGTTTTTGTCTCTTATCAACCCATAAGAAAACACCATGGATGAGATTTTGCCATCTTCCTGAAAAAATTATTGAAAATAAAACACAATCCAAAAGATTTCAAAAATGTAGTTGGTTGTGAATTTGTGATTATGTGCCTTGTATGCATGTAACTGCTACTGGATTTCAAGTTATCTGATGTGTGTCTACATGCCCTCTTATCAGCCTCTCCAAAATGAACTTGAGGGGAGAACAAGCACATGCCAGTTTGTTCCCCACAAATTTGTGGGCCTGAAGCAATTTTTCGGCTTCATGCTGTCTTGATTGCAGTCATGTAAGGCAAATTGCAAAATAGGCTCCACGTTCACATGATGTCCTGTCCTCCCTATGTTCTCTCGGGAACTATACCCTTTAAGAC